GCTTCCCTGTCATGAAGTAACCCGTAAGTAAGCTTCAGAGTGATGTTCTGTTTTTGCTGTCAGTGCAAATAGTCCTTTTTTTCAGTAAAGTATTTCTAATTCGTTTTCAATTTAACATTCTTATTATAATAATAATTATAAATATTCTTGTTGTTGTCAAAAGGTTCATATGGCACTCCGCGTTCTGCTAATGTTTATAGATAATTGATAGTCCAGACCAGCGTTGAGAGTTGCCAAAGATCCTCTGAGAGGCACCCAATCCGCTATTTTGACTTTGTCACCTATTTTGAACATAAAAACAGCAGTTAAAATACTAAAGTGAAATGTAGCCAACAAATATATAAAGAAAAAGGATAATTTAAACATTATGTAAATTGGGATGTGACTTGCAAAAATTTCGGTGAGATAATTAGGCTCTCCTAATTCGGCATCTTGATTTTATTCGGTATACACAATTGAAATTATTTTTCATAAATAACTATGCAATATATATCTTAGAATAATTATAATAAATAAGTTCATGTATTTCTTTTCTACAATTATTTGAAATTGAACAATCAAACTAATTTTTACTATTTACATTTATGTACTAAATCCGAAATATGAAAATTAGCGATATTAACCCACACGATTGGTGTTAGTCTATTTTACGACAGCATACCAAAAGGCGTTTAAAAGTCTGAAAGTTATGGCGTTCATTAGAGAAACCGTTTCTAGAAATAAATCCTTTGTATTCGATTTATATTTGCAAAAACACTTTATGGCAGAAATTCTGTAGCATATCCTTTAACTCTGTTGTGGTAACTTGAAACATTTCCATTTTTTATGTTGTTGCACCGCATCCTTGATCCAGCGCCCAGGTGACTAGTACGTTTTTTCTAGATCGTCCAGATAATCTAATCTGGGGTTTCTACAGCGCAGAGTGGGCCGCTTGCATGCACGGTTGAGGAGCAGTGGCCTATTGGGTAGGGTGAGGGTGGCGGAGTAGCGACATGGCGAAGGCGGACGCTGAGCTACCGAACGAAGGAGCGGCATTAGCGCGTGACAGGGGGCGTTAGTGTCGCGCGTCGGCGTCGGCACCAGCGCTGTCTGATGAGCGTTCGGGGCGACAGCTCTCGCCCGGCCGCCCTCGCCTCCGCCTCCGCCCTCGCCCTTGCCCTTGCCCTCGCCCTCGCCCTCGCCCTCGCCCTCGCCCTCGCCCTCGCCCTCGCCCCAAGTCTCTTCCCCCAGTGCCCCAACCGGGACAAGTTATAGGCTCTCGTCTCTTTTCTCAACGCTTGTGGGATTGTAGGGAATGTAGCGCGTCGACGTACGGAGTAAGGGGGGTGCAAGGATGAGGAAGGAAAGATCGTGCGTGGTCTGTTGCCCGTTTGCTACCGATAAATCTACCGAATAGAATAAAGCATTGCGGATACATATGATGTAGTATAAATAATACTGAACTACGTACATTCGTTCACTAATAAATATATATTTAAAAAAATCATTGCAGATACATCGGTGTTGCTGTTGGACTACCGAAGGCTGTATAATTTTTGGAGTCTGTCCCAGCGGCAGTGTCC